TTTTTGTTTACAAGAACGGTCTGACAACTAAGAGATTTGTAGTTTAAAAATAAAATAAAATTATTTATTGCATAAGATGCACGTGTAAAAATAATTATTTCAATTTTATATCAATTACTTGGACTATCTGTGAAATATGAAATTTTATTAATTATTTATTGTAACACCCCGATTTTTTTTTCTTAACGGTGTACGATAAAACACTCATACAACACAATACCGAAATCCATATTATTCCAACCATGCACAAGAGAAATTTGTCCACCTTCCATGTTCCAAATCAATTGTACATACATCTCCACCTCTACAACACATAGTAATACAATATCAAACATTCCTAGATATTCAATATCCAGACTAAACCATCCTTTCAAACTACTTTAAATCACAAACAAATCTTGTGCCCTATGGCACTACCGACGGGGCTCCGTTACCAGCCGCTCGGATCCCAATTCCGTCCTTACTCCACATGTGAATGATGAGAAGTGAGTTCACATAACTCAATACGATAAAAAGCAAGTTGTAAGTGTAATATGCAGTGACAAGAATTTCCAGAAATGTCTATATGCATTTATCCTACCCAACCCCAAACAACTCATAACCCTCCCCCTACACTAATTATCAAGGTCCTATTCCAAGGAAATAGCACGGCCAAACAACCCCACCCACCCAACAATCATCCATTAACTCCCGTCACCAACATCGGCGACTCATACACTCTTCCCCCATCTCCCGACCTCACGAGGCCATACACACACACCCAACCACCTTCATTCCACGTCACCAATATCGGCGACTCATACCCATATCTCCACCTCTCGACCTAATAGGCCACGCACACACCCACACACCATTATTCCGCGTCACCAACATCGGCGACTCACACTCACTCCTCCACCTCTCGACCTAAAGAGGCCACACACACACACAAATACCATCGTCTCGCGTCACCAACATCGGCGACTCATACTCACTCCTCCACCTCTCGACCTAAAGAGGCCACACACACACACAAATACCATCGTCTCGCGTCACCAACATCGGCGACTCATACTCACTCCTCCATCTCTCGACCTCGTTGGGCCACGCACACACACAAACATTTCCACCTCCCGTCACCACCATCCGTGACTCATGCACCCTTCTACCCCTCTCGGCCTTGCTAGGCCACACTCACATACATATCCCCTCCCTGCTCCACCAACATCGGCAACTCAACCCGCCCCTACCAACAGCCTCCAAATCTCCCCTCCCAAACCGCATGCTCCCATCTCCCCTTATACCATGCTAGTCCCAAGCATTCTAACTTGCTAACTCCTACTGACCACATTACTCCTCTTCTCCCATCCAATCCCCCTCAAATCCTGTTTCCTAGTCCCCTCTGCCGTACCTTCCAGCTCCCTTCCCTCTCCCACTGCCCCCTACCCGCTACCTCCCCCATCCTCCTGCCTCCTCCCGGTTTCTATACACTTTTGCCTACCTAGGGCGATTAACCTCTCAGCTTGCACCGTTTCACGCCACATACACGCCCTCACCACCGTGCATTTCGGGGAAACACATCACCGCCTATTAGCGGCTCCCTCCACATCCCCACCCACGCACACACCACACACACACCTCTTCTGTCCTCTCGAGTTTTTATCCCACCCGCGCCCCCTAGATTGTTCTCTCACATCCTCCTCACTCTGTTCTACCCGTACCACCCCCATCCTTCCCCACGGCTTCCCACACGCCTCCAACACCGCCATACTTTCCCTTCCTTCCCCGATCACCTCCGTGAGCGCGCGGGACAACCCCATGCTTACGGCCTACCTTCACTACTCCACTCCGTCGCGCCATTGCCGACGCCGCAACCTGCAACAAAATTCTCTACACACACACACCACACCAAACAACTCAAATTTTCACCGTACCTCCCGTTTCCATCTTCCTTCTTCCTGCCGGTCGCGTCGTCCGTCCACGGCCTCCTTCCCTCTCCCTTCTCGCTCCCCTCCGCCCCGACTTTCTCCTCTCTCCTTCTGGAACTTTCCTCTTCTTCTTCGTCTCCGTTGTCCTCCTTCCCTCTTTTTTTTCTTTTTCTCTTTTTCCTTTTCTTTTTTTTTTCTTTTCTCCTTTTTTTCCTTCTCCCTTTCCCGACCTCCTTTTATACTCTGCCAGCCTACCCCAAAACGACGTCGTTTTCCTACATCCCAAAACGACGTCGTTTTTATTATTATTATTATTTATTTTTTTTTCTTTCTATTCTTTCTACTTTCTAGTCCTTACAGAGGCCACGCTGGCAATCTGCATACCCGCGATCGGACAGTCCGGAATTGTTCCCACGCACGTGGATGGTTCATATCCGTTCCCTGTTCAGGCGCGATCGTACGGTCCAGATCAAATCGCGATAGACATT